CTGCGGAGGGAGAAAGGCAGCTCCCGTGCGGGGCCGCCTCTCTTGCTGCTTTTATTCCCGTTTCACTAGGGGTTTTTTGCAGATTTTGGGCCGTTTCTGGGCAGCACGCTGCATGCCTTGCCAAGGCTGGGACTGAGCATCCCTCCGGCCGGCCCCTGCGTCCTTGGAGCCACAAGGCAGAGCCAGCCGCGGCGTGCCACCACGCCACGGCGGATGATGCCACAATGCCGGGGTGGGTGACGGGGCAATGGCGGGATGGCGCGCACCGAGATGCTGTCTGGGATGCCCGTCACCCGGCTGGTCCCCGGGCTGGAGGTGCGGGGCTGGCCAAGAGGATGCTGCCGGCATCCTGCTGGGGGAGCATCTTTCGCCGGCACCTGCCTGCACGCCAGGCACGACACCCCCACGGCGGGTGCCTGCTGCCCGCCATTTCCCTGCCCCGTGGTGCGGTGGTCCCGGTGGGCTCCCCTCCGGCGACTCCGCCTTGCCACCGGCTTCCCCTGGGCCGGTTTTGGCAGCACGGCGAGCAGCCCCCCCACCCCTGCCATTCCTAAAGGCACCGCAGATCTGTTGGTTACCTTGAACATCTTGCTGCTGCTAATGAATTGCTAATACAATTTTCTAGATAATTTTATTTCCATAGTCCTCTCATTTTAATGTCTCCAAAAAGCTAGCATTTATTTGCTTAATCTCCCCGCGTAATACAATTTGCACTGACTCATAGGTTCTGAACAATCAGCTATGCATAAACGAAAGCAAATTGTTTAATAACACAAAGGTCTGATATTTTTATTGACGGTGTATAAGTATCTGGGGCTGGGGTTTTTTTCCTACTTTTGCTGTTGTAGTAGGAAACAACCTGCAGCTGGTTTTATACCTGTGCCCGTGGTTGGTAGGATGGAGCTTGTGCTTGTATTATGGCTCGGGATCGCACGCAGCGCAGGGGTGGGCACGTCGCCCTCTTGCATCCGGCCCCCTGCTCCCCGGGGCCGCTTTGCGGGGTGTTTCTTGGGGTCCCCTTTCCCCTGGCATTGAGAGGTCTGAGCTCAGCAGCTCTCGCAGGTGCGTGGGGATGCGGTGATCGCCCAACAGCTGCCTTGCATTTGGGCATCCCTGGGCATCGCGGGGCTGGGGCTTCCAGCTGCCTCCAATGCAATAAAAGCCCCCTGCCCTCCTCCGGCATTCCCCGTGGTGGTCC